CATTATTAAAAGTTCTCACATTTACTTATCTTTCTAAAATACCAACCTATGATTTTAAGATTGCTTGAAAGAAAAGATCACTGAAGACCATCCAGGTTGACAAATAGCTTAAACTTGAAAAAGAAAATTAAAGAAATTAAGGCATGTCATCAGTTCAAAACATCACCTCCCTCTTAGAGGAATAATTGCTCCTTCCATTATCTCCAGTTATGCTCCTTTCTTAGAGTAGAAACAAATCTTCTAAGGCCTTAGTGGGAGGTGACATCAAGGGCTAAAAAATACTCTTTGGTGAACTCATCACTTTGATGCTCAGATAGAAGTCAGACTGGGCAGAAGAGAAGCTCTAAACATACAAAGGACTTTGAAATTTGAGATTAAAAAAGCAAGCAGAAAACTGAGAGATATTATTTTAGTCACTGCTAATATGGGATATTATTCAGTTTGTTTATCTAATCCAGCATTGAGCATTTATTAACTGGATTCTGCAAACACTTGTGGATTGATAATGTGCTGCATATTTCATCATACTTGGAATATAAATTTGAATAAAATTATAAGAAGAGTTGATTTTTATTTAGTTTTCAAACCATGTTTGAACCTGCAAGTAGTTTGCAAGTTAAATTATCACTCAACTGGCTGCATAAGTAGAATTGGGTAGTATTAGGAAAGAATCCCCAGAGACATTGCATGAGACCAAGTGTCTGCCTTCTGTCTTATACCATTTGTGACTGTTGCATACTTCAGCACTTGAAAAACTATGCCTCTGTGACAATAGGCCCTCCAGTGTTGCTAGGAAACCCAATAACTGTTTTTTACAACCTTGAGATTTCACTTCATTTCTAGTGCAACACAAAGAAGAGTGGTCAGATGTTTTAAACATTTTTTGAAAAAGAAATACCGAGGGCCAGCCCGGTGGTGCACTGCTACAGTGCACCGCTTGGGAGCATGGCAGCGCTCCCGCCGAGGGTTCGGATCCCACATACAGACCGGTTCCCGCTCACTGGCTGAGCGAGGTGTGGGAGCAACACCGAGGGTTGCGATCCCGTTGCCGGTCCCGGTCCGGTACGGGCGCGACACTGAGGGTTGCGATCCATTGCCGAACACGAAAAAAAGACAAAAAGGAAAAAAAAAAAGAAAAAGAAATACCGAAAGCCATTTAAAAACCTGTTTAAAATTTCTCAAGCAGTATACACATGAGAAAATCTCAGAATAAAGCAGAAATGAAGAAGTGAACAATCACTTTAAAATTTCAGTTCTCGAAAGATAATTGCACTTTTTTTTTTTTTTTTTTTTGGTGCCAGGCTGGTACAGGGTTCTGAACCCTTCCTTGACCTTGGTACTGTTAACACCATTCTCTAACCAGCTTATTAGTAACTGGCCAGCCCCAAAATAATTGTTATTAATGGTTTGGTATATATCTTTTCAGATCATTTTTATTCACATACTTCTAACTATTTTTTAAGGTAATCGTTTAAAGTAAAATTAATTTTTATATATCAAACAAGAAAGAATGAAACATAATACTATGAAAACTAAGATGCTTTTTATTCTAATGACTTTCTGTCATATAAACACTGAGAGCATGAATTAGGAGGATTTGAACTTTAACACATTTGGATGTCTAATTGATGTCATTTAACTTTATTTGATTTTACAAAATGAAAACACTAAAAGTGCACAGTGACCAGGAAGTTTCAGTTAATTTATAGCAATTTTTCATTCTCACTTATATATTTTTACCTCCATAATTTTAGACTATGTCTTAATTCATTTTGAAATGGAATTTTGATTTTGGAATTTGGAATGGAATTTGATACATAAAGTCTTAATGGAATTTGATACATAAAGTATTAATAACCAGACAGATTAAATGCAGGCAACACGTTGTAGGAGCTATAGAAAGAAGTATTTGAAGTAGCAGGAATTTTTTCTGGCAGATGAATGCTTTTTTCCAAAATTTCTAAAATTGATAAAAGTTATAATCCAATAACCAATTCTTTTCTACTATATGTGAGGAACTACAACAGGAGATAGAGGTACCCATAATTTCTCCCAATCCTAATGGAGCTAATGATTTAATGGTAAATCAGGACGTGCATTTTAAAAGGTCCTAAAAAATACAAGGTAGTGTGGGAAGAAGATAAGCTCCTCAATATCTATGATATGTGACAAAACCCTGGATGCTAACTAAGTCAGCGTCACCGTAAAATTTATAAAGAAAAAAAAAATCCAAAGTGGCATATTCTAAGTGCTAAGTGGATGATAGAGATAGTAAAAGTACTGTGAGCATTCATAGAAAGAAAGAATAATCAGTGTAGGGTGGAGAGGTAGGAGAATGCTTTAGTGAATGAGGTAGGAATGGAACTGCATTTATTAGAAGTGATAGAAAGTATTTTTTTCAGAGGTTTAAGTATTCAGGAGAAACACTTGAGATTATACACATAAATATCAAATCATATCACTTTAAAATAGAAATGTGGACATGAAATGGATACTGGAGTAGTATGGACTTTGTGGGGGATGAGTAGTTGATTTGGGTGGAATCAGTGGGTTTGGATGGTGAATCATCAACCTTGCCTGTGTAACAAGCCACTGTTCAGATCCTGGGGGGTTGCCAGTTTATTCTAGGCCAAGATGGGAAGTTCTAGACTCATTCACAAGGCTGCAGACCCTGGGCTGGGCTGGGGCCAAGTATTCTGGGGCAGCTCCCTGTGGGGTGGTTGCAGCTATTGGTCAGAATCCTCGGGTTCCTTCCTGTGTGGTTTGTTCACACAGTGGCAGGCCTCTTTGAGGTGAGAGTGGGCCCAGCAAGGGCACTTGGGGCCTGGACTGCGCTCCTGCCATACACATTCTGTTGCTCACAGCAAGGCCAGCCCCAGATTTAAGGGACGACGTGCAGAGAATTTGTATTCATTTTTAATCTATTTGAGGAGTACACTTACATGTGATTAAAAGCTTAGAATGGTGCCTGAATGTAAATGGGTATGAATGTAACCTGGCTTTTCTTTAATTCCGTATCTATTGGCTTTGACTTTATTAACATATTACTACAACTTCTAGTCTGTGTATTAAACTTATTTGATGGCTGATGGAAAGGATCATGCAGTGGTTAATAACTTACCTCTTCATTTTGGTTTGTTCTGTTGGAATTAATTATTTGAAAAACAACATCAAAATAGTCATTGTAGAGAATTAAGACTCTGGACTGATTTACTCTTAATTTGGCTCTAATGTGTTTATCTTTATGGTGGGAACAGAGAGAAGGGAAGGAAAGAGAGAGGCAGGCCCCATGCACCATAATTCTAGTGCTTAGGGCCTATTCCAGGAGGTCATTATCCAGCTCTGAGTGTCATTGTTAGCTGAGGTAGCTATCCATATGTAGAGCTGCTGCTTTACAAGAAACAGTGAAACTTACAGTTCTTCATGCATTAGATGTTTGAGTTTATACTTAGGAAAGTATTGGGTTATCACAAGGAAACCATAGATGTGACAAACTGGTGCTGTGCAAACTTTCGTAGTGTAAATAGCAAGAAAATTAAGTTTTATGTGATAGTTCATTTACAGACTAAATTTGCATTTTAAATCAAGTTGATGGCTTGTTCATACTTACTGAAGTTTGAAGACAAGTGTTAAAACAGATGTATTTTTATGTGGAGATTGATAAACATAATTGTTTGTCTTTTGAAAAACAAGATGTGAATTGATTATAAACTCAATATTTTTTCTCTTATGAAGCAAGAAATAGTGCCATTTTGCTCATAGTTTATTTCCACCTTTTATGCATGTGAGAGATACCAGTATTGTTAATAGTAAGCCGTTAACAGGGTGAGCTCTTACAGAGTTGCAGTGGGTTTAAGTCATCTCTTTTTGACAAACTCAATTGAAAGAATGTTTGTGGGAATTTTTGCTTGTTTGAAACTTAGTATATCTTATTTTGGCTTTTACATATTTGTCAAATATTGCCACTCAGCATTAATTTTCACTTTAATTGTGATCTAAATGGGAGTTTTATAGAATATAAATATCAGAATAAGTTATGGAAATTTAAGATGTCTTTTAAAAATAATAAGATAAATATGATTGACTTTTTCAGACAAAAAATAGGAAAGGGATGAACAGTAAAAAATGTCTGAAAGATAATATCGAGGTCAACTGTTTTGTAAATTAAATAATATATATGAATTGACAGTGTTTTCTTTCTTTCTGAATTGTCCTCATCAAAGTTTATTGCTTAGAAATATATATATATTTTTCCTTTTTGTCTTTTTTCGTGACCGGTAACGGGATCGCAATCCTCGGTGTCACGCCTGTACCGCGACCGGCAACGGGATCGCAACCCTCGGTGTCACACCCGCACCGCGCTCAACCAGTGAGCTGACCGGTCTCTATATGGGATCCGAACCCTCGGCGGGAGTGCCGCCACACTCCCAAGCGCCACACTCTACCAAGTGCGCCACCGGGCCGGCCCTTAGAAATATTTTTAAGCATTCAATAGAAGTTCATAATCAAACTTAATAAAAATTTAGAATTAAAGAAGGCTTGGCAGAAAATGTGTCAAAATTTATCAGTATGTGCCCCCCCCGATAATAATGAGTTCCCAGTGTGTTCTCCACACTGAGCCGAGCATGAATTAATGTATAGCCTTGAATTTGTATAACTGACCTTTCAGAGGTTCTAGCTAAGTTCAGTTTTAAACATCTGCTTGGATATAGAAACCCTCTACTAGTAGAAACTTCTTTTATGTAGTGTTGGGAAGTTCACAGTGCTCTTACAGGGAATTGTATCAAATGTGATAATATTAATAGTGTCATTCCACTTTCACAAAGGCACAAACTAAAAACTGGGCATTGCTGAGTTTGAAATCCATTCCTCTGGACTCAGATCCCATCCTGTGTCCCCAGCGTCACTGTGCTCTTCCTGAATGGCTGTAGGCACTGTGCATGCTGCCTGCGTGATAACAGATGCTTAGTCTCACATACATGTTTCATTTTCCAGGTTTCACCAAAAGTCTGAGTATCACTACTACTGATCAGATGATTGAAAAAGCCAAAGGGGAAACTGCCTATCTGCCATGCAAGTTTACTGTTGGTTCTGAAGACCAAGGGCCGCTGGACATTGAGTGGCTGCTTTCACCAGCTGATAATCAGAAGGTGGATCAAGTGGTAAGTTTGCTAAATGCTTGCTTACTCAGCAGATGTCTGTGCATTGTCTTCTGTGTCCATCACTCTGCTGATCATATGGATGGGGTCTATGGAGCTGGGAAAAAGCTCCTGATTTCTCAGGCTTATGGTCCAGGTGAGGAAGGCAGTTGTTCTGGTGGAAAGTGAGGACACATATGCAGTGGAGTGAAATGGATAATAAGTGACATAAGATTACAGAAGAGGAAAAGCCCTCTAGGCTTCTTAGAGAAGGCATCAGGGCAGAAGAGGAACTTGCGAAAGTTCTGAAAATCTGCATTTGGAAGTGTAAGATACCTGACAATAATGGAGGGGTATATGGAGCAGACACCATAGCCAGGCAGGAGAGTGCATAGTGGTGGGGGATGGCGAGTCAACTGCACTTTGTTAGAGGTTAGATAGAATTACATTTTTAAGTTTTGCACACAAACAGACTCTGTCACCAGTAGAAGGATCGTTAAATGTAACAGTGTAATGCAGGTACATATTATTACAGAGCCTGTATTCCTTATTTCTTCAAGTTAAAATCCTGTACAATGAATTTCTTAAAAATCAAAACAAAGTATAACATAAAAAAAGTATAAAATATTTAATCTTAAATTTTAAAAAAGTGAAGATATTTTATAGTATTTTTTCTAATCAAAGTAATAAAATAATTACTAATGTTGGTAACTGGGGAAGCTAAAAATAGCACAGAGGAGGAAACTTGCCCAGTAATCTCACCTCCAATTATATATATCACACTTTGCCTTTCAAATGGTTCCAGAATATCTTACTTTATTTAGAATGTCACATATTCGTTTCATCTGACACATTTAATAAAAAAATCAATGTTAATAAATTACCTTAGACTAGGGAGAGGAAAACAAGTCCATTTAGAAGAATGTGGTAATATATATATTTGGAAAAGAAATTTTATTTTTAACTAGTGTCCATGTCAGAGATGAGATTATTTAAAAACTGAAAGTAAAACTCTTCCATTTAACGGCTGAGTCAGTATAGTTAGATAATTAATATTTTTTAATTAATAATAATAATCCAGTCAGTTTGCCTACATTGCATTTGTGAAAAATAATTAAATGCTCGTGCCAAGTTGTGAATGACTATGGCCTCCCCCTCCAAGGACATACCTCTGCCTTGATTTAGCTACTGGAACTTCCTTCTGTCTCTCTAAGCAAAATAAATTGAGCTTGACTCATTCTGTCTGTTTCCTCCCTGTCTTGCTCTTACTCCCCTTTCTCTCCTTTCTCTCTCTCTGTGGAAGTGTCAGCACCCTAACTACAGGCTTATGGTCCTGCAGTTCCTGCTTCCCCTGCCAGTGCTGTGCCCATTTCCCTTTAGAGTCCAGAACTCTGATCACGTGCTTAAGACAGGTGAAGCTGGGGATGTATGTGGAGAGCACGGGTCTTCAGTGCTTCAGGCTGAAGACTCATGAGATGAGTGAAACTTACGGCAAGGTGTACATGGAGACCAAAGCACAGTGTGCCCCAAGCCTTTAGTGTGCATGTTAATGGAAGGAGGACCCTGGTCTTCCATTCTGAGTGGGACCCTCAGCCTTCCTGTGCACGGGAGTTGTGAGATAAGTGTGGAACTGGGACTTGGCTTTAAGTGCCCATCTCTGGGTTAAAGCCTAGCCTCTAACCTAAAACACAGTAAAAGCAGACCAAAAGAAAGATAGAAGAGTTAGGGAGAAATTGATGCAGAAAAGGATGCTTACATAGAATGACCCTATTTTAATGTATTTAAGCTAGCAGACAGTGTTTAAGGACCAGGAATCAGAGAACTGGGCTGGAGAAATTTCCATTCTTATTTCCTGTGTGACCTCTTTAGTCAGCAGTTAACATGTGCTATGCACTGGGTAGTATTTTATATACTTTAATTATATACATTTATTAAATCCTTAAAATGACACCCTAAAGTGAGACTTATTATGCATATGAAAAAGAGGAAACAGAGGCCTGGAGATTTGAAGGAACATTCCCAGGGTCACACAGCTGACAACAGGTGCAGTTGGGATTTGAACCCAAGTCTGTCTGACACTCACACCTGCACTTTTATTATCCTTTGCACTATCTTGTACTGCCTCCCACGTTTCATAAACTTCTGTTTCCTCATGTGTAAATTAGGAACAAACACTCCTACCATCTCAGAGTTGTTAGGAGAATTCAGTGTAATATTGTATGCACAAGCATTTGTAAGTTTATTAGTGATACGGAAATGTTAATCATTACTACACTAAGTCAGATGGATCTGGTTTGCATCTTAGCGGTATGACTTTGCAAAAGTTGATCTGTGAGAGCCACTGCTTTCCTCACCCTAAATGTTAAATGTGAAAGATGCAGGTTTGTAAGGAGGAAGCAATGAAGACATGTAAAATTGCCTGTTAGTCCCCTGTTTCTTAATTACCATTTGTAATATTGTTTTCATAGGAAAATACTAAGATAGTTTACAAAATAACCAACAGTGGGGACACATCTTACTTGCCAGGCCTTCCTTAAAAGACTACTGAAGTGTGTGTATAGCAGAGTGAGCTATTGAAAATGCAATACTGGATTAAACTTCATGGCCTTTTACAATGCACAAGTCAGTAGTTAGACACAGAGGAAGACAGGGCAGCCTCTTTTGTGGAGTCCTCAGTATTGTTGCTGACAAGCAGGTGTGGCAGAAGATGGAGCAAATAAAGGAATGGTTTGTGTTTACAGAGTAAGTCAGCTATGGACACTTCAGCTGCTGCTTTTATTCCCATAGCAAGCTGGTATTGAGTGCATCCTCCATGCAGACACTTAATATATAAAGAAAAGCTCTTTAGTGGATTAGGGGTGGGGTCAGTGTGGTAGGGGAGGAGATAATACAGAAAAGAACCCAAGTCCCTTCACTCAAATTGCAACAGAATAAACTTGGGAAAGTATTCTTGGATGACATTTATTCTGATTATACTGCACATAATTAGCATCTCAGATAAAAATTTATTTGTGCAATATAGACTTATTGTGTTTCCTGATTACCATTTGAGTTTGGCACTACTGTCCTTTGGCCCTTGGATCTTGTGACCAGAATGAGGGATTTCATTAGGGAATGTGGAAAATTATAAAATGTGTTGAATTAATTTTAGAAATTGTTAGAGATGACTATTATAATCTCTTCCAAGTCAAATTTAAAGCAGATTTTTATTTTCCCTCTAAATCTAGCCTTCAGTAACTGCCCTCAAAGCCTGTTACAGTGGCTCAGAAAACTCAGTGAAATTTAGGAAGGGGTCTTTGCTTTAGTCACAGAAGATTGAAAGACTTAGTCACAGTCATTGAAAGGTCTTCTAAACCTGGGTACATATATCTTAAGAGGTTTATTTAATGATTCTATCTTTTAGAGTCTAGAACCTACAAGTGTCTCCAACTTAGTATTAAGTTAAAAATGTTGTCTTTTTGTTAGATACCACAGGTAAATCCCACAGGGGAGAGGGTAGTATGTGCTTGATTTTATAGACTTGGTTGGCATATTGCAGCCTTGGAGGCAGGTGAAAAATAGAATGTATAGGAATGTACAAATCTGTGTTCTTGTCCAATCTCACTAAATCACTCAAAGTATACTCGTAAAGTATAGGACTATATTACTTAGTCATGTTGGGTCTTGGTTTCTCCATTTAAGATGGGACTGTGGGACTGTATTCAAGGATCACAGTGATTGTTTTTTGTCTTCTCATTCTGTGATTTGGATAATTGTAGGTTTCCTTATCATACTGTGTTCTTTTTCTTTTTTCTGGATTTTACAGTAGCATGGTATATCCAGACCTTTTTTAATGAAACAGGTTTTTTGTTTGTTTCTCCCCCCTGTCTTTTGGCTTTCTTTTAGATTATTTTATATTCTGGAGACAAAATTTATGACGACTACTATCAAGATCTGAAAGGACGAGTACATTTTACAAGTAGTGATGTTAAATCTGGTGATGCATCAATAAATGTAACAAATTTACAATTATCAGATATTGGCACATATCAGTGCAAAGTGAAAAAAGCTCCTGGTGTTGCAAATAAGAAGATTCAGCTGACAGTTCTTGGTAAGTTATTTTTATTTGTATGAATGGGTTACTTGGTAACAGGGTGAGTGATCACAGTACTATAGTAGAAGGATTTATGTAAAACAAAGCTTAGTTTTTTAGAATAATAATTTTAAACATTCGAAGTACATCTAAATGTCCTCACATGGCATAAAACATAAAGCTAGCATACTTTTTTAGATAAAACAAATAAGAAATGACCCACTTCTTTGTGAAATTCATAAAAGAGTTTGAAAATAAATGAGGAGTATTGTGGTATGAGGAAGAACCCTAAGCCAAAAGTTAGGAGATCTAGGTTTTTTGCCTTGTCCTCAGAATTTGCCTTGAGAATTAAATAGAACCTCTTTTATTTCCCTGGGCCTTGGCCTCCCATTTTGAAACTTAAGAAGACTTAATTAGCATTAAATTTATCAGATTTCATTCAGTTCGAAATTGTTATATGTGCTTTAAGCTTTTACCTTCATTACCCAAGGAATAAATGCGGTTTCTATGATAAATAATTGGAGTATTTATTTATTTATTTTCTTTTTTGGTTTGTTTCCTTTTTCTTTCTTCTTGTTTTTTGTTTCTCTGTTTGTTTCCTTTTTTCTTTTCTTAATAATTGAAGTATTTAGAATGGAGAGGATGGGATATGGTAGAAGGAATTTTGAATTGGAGAAAGGCCATTAGACATCAGATAGTTATGTAACCTCCCTGCATCCCTGTTTTTCATCAAGTGAGGGGATTAGACAGCTGCTGGGATGTCTTGTAGTTCTGTCTGTGATAGTTAAGAAGGAGGTAACTGTAAACTGATTTGTAAGCTGTCAAAGACTTCAAAATTTGTTATCCTTCTCTAGATTGTGCAATAATGTGCACCAGTATTCTTATCCCTTTGAAATGAGAAGGTTTAAAAGGTTATAGCTTATGCATACGCTTCTAAAACCTTATCATGGTAGACTTAACACAAAACGTACAATGGCTACCATACAGGAGAAGACAGCTATCTTCCTCTCTTTTATCGCAGTAATTCCCCGGTTCTGTGGTGCAAGCTATCATGTTTTGGAGGATACCTGAGGACCCACTTTTCATAGGAAATGCTCATTGCTAGAATTGCTTAGCCTTCTCCTGGAAGTAATTAGTCAGGCAATCTCCCCACACCAACTTTTCCCTTGTTCTTTTTGTTTTAGAGACTGATCAGGGGTAGGGTAGAGAAGTAGTTAAGTGTTGGGTACCAGAGTCATTTTTGAACATTCTTCTTTTTATGTCACAGCAGACAGAGACTAGAAACAAGAATGCAGATTTTTGTGCATCCCCATGGCAACTTCAGGGGTTGGTAAAGCAGTCTTCTGCTGTTAGCATCATTGAGTAGGCACCCGGGGGGTCCTGGTAAAAAGTACCCCATCCTAAATGGCACAAGTTAAAAATGTTTCCTATGGTGTGAAAGTAAGTGAACCTGAACAAGGAACCAGGTAAATGAATATGGTAACATTGGAGATCCTAGCTTTTTGTGTCTACATTGAGTAAACATGGAGTAACCTTTCTTTTTTATAAATATGCAAACAGATGAAAGTTTAACAACTGGTCTGAACTCCCAGATGCAGGGATACCTGACTATACCTTCTTTCAATACTGTTTTCCAGGAAGTATTGAACATTTTTTCTTTTTTTTCTCTTTCTTTCTTTCTTTTTTTTTTAAATTTTATTTTGTCGATATATAATGTGGTTGATTATTGTTGCCCATTACGGAAACCTCCCTCCCTCCTCCCTCGCCCCCCTCCCACCCAATAATGTCCTTTCTGTTTGCTTGTCATACCAACTTCAAGGAATTGTAGTTGTTGTGTTTTCTTCCCCCCTCCCCCCCGGTTTTTTTTTTTT